TCTCTCTCTCTCTCTCTCTCTCTCTCTCTCTCTCTCTCTCTTCTCTGTGTATGACTGGCGCCGTTCCACTTCAGCGTCGCTACTCCGCCAGCACTCCGATTGCAGCGTCCCTCGTCATCCAATACTACGACTTCAGAGTCCCTCTTCCGCCTCACGCGCAGCGTGGAAAACGACGAAGGGCGCACGACATCGAATGGCCAACCAGCCCAGGTCAACAGTTAAATAGTGCTGCACTGGACTGCCTGTGCCAGCATCCGGTGACAATTTACCCGGGACCACATGCCCTCTTCTTGTCGGACTGAAATGTGAGCGTCAGTACGTTCCCCATGGTCTGGTGCCGATGTGGCCGCCGGGCCAGCCTTTTGGACTGACCGTTTAACCTTTGACTATGTGCTGAATAGAAATGAACGTCAATGAGCCTCGATTTTGATTGTTCGCTCAGTGCTTGGATCTGACTTCTGCAGAACGACTTTCCATTTTAGTCCGGACGCGACAATTGCCTGGAATACGATGTGACTTTGCCCCACGGAACCTGTCTTTCGGAGGGTATACGCACGAATAGCAACGCATGCCCCAATCATCACAATGTGGATGCCTTAGTTCCTATATGGCTCTTCAATGTGAGGCGGATATATCCCGCCTGCATCCGAAACCAAATACATTTATACTTCGGATACATCCTTCTATGTGGTGTGTTGGAAGTCATTAATGGTATACTGGAGGCTATATTTCACTGCTTAATGAAGTGGTTTCTAAATAGTACACAATATAATGTACTATTTTAACGAATAACATCGTGGTTCCTCTAGGCAGCGGTTCGACGCAGGATTGGATGGGGAGCCAGCTGTACAGACAGGCATCGGCGCCGACGTACACTGATCTGCTGGAGGGGCAGACCCCAGTTGGTTATGACGTAGGACTCGTAGATCTTAGCTTCGGTTTGAGGTCTGGGAGTGCCGAGGACGTGACACACACCGTTCTCGTGAACCCAGCTTCTGGCACCAACCACACACCGCCTTCGGTGAGGGTGTCGGGCCTTCCGGATAACCGCGCCTGGTGTTCTGGTGAGTCGGGTGATGAATGTGGACTCTTTTCGCCAAGGCAGGGGGCAGTGGGCACATCAGGTGTGGCCGCGTCAAGAACGAGGACAGGTGGATCAACTCCCTGTGGATCGACGACGCCATACGGCACAATCGACGGACGAGGGGACGACGATGAGTGCTCTGTTGCGGAGAACGTGGGACGAAAGGTTTGGGATGATCATCAGCGACAATCCCGTCAAGCGAGCACGTCCGGCATAACGAGAGGGGTGGCGAAGATTAATGTGGGGGCGAACGATATATTCGGCGATTGCGATGGTGCAGGGGGCGAAGATTGCACGGCAGACGACGGGGCCAATGACAACGACGAGGACGACGACAGGGAGATGGAGATTCGTCCAGTAGGGAGGAAGTGGGGAGGGTCAAGGGCCACAAACAAGTTTACAAAACCACGTGCTGGGCGGAGAGGCAAGAAGGGTGTGGAAGATACGTCGGCAGGCGAGGGAGCAAAAAGCAGGGATTTTAGGACCGTGGAGCACATGATTGCTCTGATCCGATCTAAAAGTGACCAGGATTTGCATCTGGCCGGCCTGGGGCACAACAGCGGAAGGATGAAGACGAAGACATGGAAGTGGGATGACGTCGAGAAGAGGCTCTTGCAGATGGGGGTGACGAGTAGAAAGGCCGTGGACTGTGGGAAAAATGGGACAACCTGTACCAGCAGTTCAAAACCATGCACAAGTTCATGGGAGAATCGGGGAAGCCTAATTTCTTAACACTAACGCCAGGGGAGAGGAAGGAGCGGGGGTTCAACTTTGAGATGGATGAGCATGTGTATTCGGAGATGAAGGCCATGTCCAGGGGCGATCACACTATACACCCCATGAATCTCGCGGACACGGGTGCGGCTGGAGGTGGTCAAATGGTCGGCCCACGTGGAGATCGGAATGAATCAAGCGGTAATGAGGGATGCGGGGATGGACTGGACGACGATCAGGGATCGACGAGGGATTCAACGTTCAGCGGCGGTGGTGGTGGCGGGGCCGGCAAACGGAAGAATGTAAGACAGCAGACCTTCGACACGATTGCGGACGTCATGAAGGAGCACGGGAATCTGATGGCGACGACGGTGGACAGCGCGAGCAAGAGGCAATGCGACATTCTCGAGCGAGAGCTAAAAGTGCAGAAGGAGCACTATGTGAAGGCCGACCAGGCGAACTTCATGATGTGCAACGCCCTTCTGGAGATTGCTAAAGTGATCCGCGAGCGATCCTAACGTCGCTCGGCAACACATGTCCGACGTCCACGCGAATGCCATGTGTGCACTTCCAGAGCATCGCCGTTGCCGTCATCCTGGGTGTTGCAGTGCGGTGATGGGCAGGTTGTGTAGAGATAACGGGTCGTTTTTGCCCACACAGTTTTTTTAAGCGTGGATTTGTTTGATGACTATGAAGGGTATTCATTGCTGTCATGCCCTGCGGCGGTCCTTCGGTTGTACAGTAGGTCCTCCGATTTTGTATTTTGTTTAACGGCTGGTGTTGTGAGGCATTGCCGCCACGCATGGATGGCGATCTACCAAGGTCTTCTTTGGGGGTGTCGGAGAAGGAATAGGTGGCGGGGTGTGTTTTTCGTGTCATCGCACACCCGCAAATCCTCCCAAGTCCCGCCAGCTCTCCGCCTCGTCCACCAACGTGGCGTCGCGCGAGGAAGCACACCTCACCCGATTGTAGCGCGCAGCTGAACCACGGTCTCCGGAGTGGTAATGTAGTCCGGGGCGTCCAACACCCTCTGCAGTAGAAGCCTCTGCCGCCGCCTCAAAAGCGTTGCTTTCATGCGCCCGACCGCCCTCTCTACTTGGAATCGACGGACAACCGTAACCGCAGCCGCCGCTACAACTGTTTTCTCCGTCGTCGACAGTAAAGCACGCCCATCCCCATCGCAACCTTCCATTATGCTCTTCCAACATGAAAAACAACGTCCACCGCCACCCAGCTTCGTGTACCTCTGCCACCACAATTGAAGACGCATGCAATCAGGTCAGGAAGACAACCGTGCTCAACGATGTTCCACCCCGATTGAAGCGTCTGCCCACCGCCGCTGAAGTACGGAACCGCCGCGCGCCTCAACGTGACGAGCGCAACTGCCGATACCCCTTTTTGTTTTGCCGCGTCGACCACACTTGAGACAGTGGCGGTGCGACGCCGCTGAAGTACGCAACGCAATGGCAACCGAAACCCTGTGAGGCGTGCACTGCCCCTTGCCGACCCGCCTGTGCGCCGCCACACATCCGCTCCGCAAGAAGAAAATTCGAATTTCGAATTTCGAACGGGGCCGTTCTCGCGTTCGTGATTTTCTTTTCCATGGCCCGTGATGTATTGCCGCCGTCCGCCTGCTGGACCACCACGCCTCCTACACGGACATTCCGAATCGGAGGTCGGACAATCCCCTCGCAGCCGTGAATAATCTAATGAAACTGGCCGCAGGAGGGCCCCGAGGATTTGTCCTCGGGGCGATTCTCCGAGGACAGGTGAAACGACACCTCAAAAAAAAAAGAAAAAACTCTGAGGATTCATTCTCGAAGCCCGAGGACGGCTGAGGAGTGTCGAACGACACCCATAGACAGACAAACAAACACTCACAAATAGGCAGACACAAAGACAGACAGATAGATAGACAGACTGGTAGGAGCCTCTCAACTTTAAAATGTGAAACATGTAGACCGCTTGATACCTTTCCCTTTCCAAATTTAGAACCCACACACCCCTTTCGAACTTCAAAATGTAAAATTCATTCCTTCATCACACAATCCCACCATAGTCTTATTCCTACTTGGCAGGTTGGTTCAATAATTATCCTTCAGTTCAACCCGATTGGATTCCTTGGCATTGTCCACATGATGCTGACACTAAATCTGGACAGTCCTTGATTGTGCACTAGTTCAGAGTGCAGTATTGGTAGTCGGTTCGCACATAAGCATGGAAGACCTAGATCTCATATGGTATATACATGACCGGTGACTTTGTCGGCGCAGTGTCGTATATATGGCAAATTTGAACCGACAAAATTATCTGTTCGGTTTTATCATCCAGGCAAACCAGAATCGGTAAAATTATCTGTTTGGTTTCGCCATCTGTAGGAAACCGGGGCACCGGTTGGATATGCGCATTGTGGTATAAGGTGGCGGGTTCAAATCCGCAGGCCCACACATGGACACCGACAGGGCGTTAGAATGACGCACGACTGGACACACACCCCTTGGGTTGATGCACAGTAAGCTATCATGATTACAGACACTGCCTGTGCACCACATAGAGGACTGTCCATGGTGTTGTATGTTGGGTCCTGGCCTTTGAGGGGTTGGCCTGATACAGTTAGCAGTCTAACTTGAATGAGGAAGCAGGTACGGGTTTGCAGGTACGGGTTTGCTGGTACGGGTTTGAGGTTAGACTGCTCATGTGTGTTGGTTACCTTAGGCTCTGCTTTGGGGGGATAAGGACCTGAGGTGGGATGGGGTTCCGTTTGGGGGGAGGGTTCAACTGGGCTTGGGACAAGCTCTTTTGGAGGATGTCGGTGGGGAACCTGGAGTAGGGGATTGTCTTAAGGGATCCCGGTAGGAGGGGTGTTAGACAGACTCTGGTGGAGGAAATCGTTGGGGAACCTGCAATAGGGATTGTCTGAGGGGGATCCTCTAAGATAGGATGGTCTAGGTCCCATAAATTAGTTGCTCACTGTAGATAGGTACCTGTCGTGGGTCCAGAAACCGACCTCTACAATACCCTGGACTTTGGGGGAAAAAAATAAAATAAAAAATCGGACCGATAATTTTGTATTTTTTATTTTGAGATCGGCAACTTTGTCAGTTAATCACTCAGTCAGTATGGTTTGGTTTTGCCATACGTACAAAACAAAACCGGACAAATAATTTTATCCGTCTAATTTAAAATGAATGCTTTAATCGTAAAAAATCAGCCATAAGTGGCAATAACGCACCATCAACCAACCAATCAACAAATCAGTCAGCCAATTAGTCAGTCAATCAATCAGTCAATTAATCAACAATTCAAACAATCGATCACCTAAACCCCCTCCTGTGCTCTGATATGTGGCCAGCCTCCACCCCTAATTTCGCCTCACCCCCTCTCCATCTCCCTCGACTGGGTGGAGGGCGGAAGGCAGAAGTGCGGTCGACAAGAAAGTGGAAGAAGAGACAATGGGATGGAACTGGAAGACACCCGTGGTAGGGGTTGGGAGGCACTGGGAAGCGGGAGAGTGGGCAAGGAGAGAAGCAGAGGGCAGCAACCGAAAGGGGACACATATAGCCGAAGGGATATTTGATTGATTGATTGATTGATTGATTAAATAAAGGATTGATCAATTGATCGACGAGAGATATTCGAAAATTGGACCGATGACTTTGTGGGCACGGTGTCCTGTGTCTTACAAACGAGAGAGATAAAATTATCTGTTCGGTTTTGTCCTCCAGAAAAAATAGGTCATAAATGTTTGGTTCTGTCATGCGTACAAAACCGGACCGATAATTTTATCGGTACGATTTCCAAATGACTCCTTTATTCGTGAAGCAGTCAGTACGGTCTGGTTCACGCGTGCAAAACTGGATTATTGGCCCGATTTTAGAGTGACTGATCTTTTTTTCAAGAAACCAGTCAATAAACATAATATTAACTAGCCAATCAGTTCATGAATCCCTCAATCAATCGATTAAACAAACACATAAAACCACCCTTGTGCTCTGACACAAGGTCATCTTCCCGCCTCGCTTCGCAGAGGGCCGAGGGCAGAAGTGTGGAACGAGGAAAAAAGAGGAGGAGAGGGAACGGGGTGAGAGCGAAAGACACCTGCGGTGTAAGCCGGAAGGCAAAGAGAGGCCGAAATATTGGCATGGAGAGAAACAGAGGGGTGCGAAAATGGGGAGGGCGGAGGCAGAAGACAGTGGGAGGCGAAAGGGGGGGGAAGGGCGGTCAGAACGGACAGAAGAACGAACTATCAAAACTGCATTAGTAAAATTATCTGTCCGGTTTTGCCATACATACAAAACTGGGCTGATAGTTTTATCTGTTCGTTTTTTTGAATCGTAAACCAGTTAAACATGCACTTCGTGAAAATTGGACCGAAACGGAAGTCTCTTTTGCCAAATTATGCTATATGTTTTTTCGTAAACTAGTTTTGACGATAAGATTTAGACCTCAGGTTTAAGTGCCACAACAAGACAAGAAAAAACTTGTTTTTTCAAAAATACATTTAGCCTTGCGTTCCATGTCTCATGGCAAAAAAATAGAAAATAACTTTTTTTTTTTAAATTGAAGGCACCCGAAGAAACCATCTCAGTACCATAATAGTTTTGTGGAAAATATTTAAGGTTGTCCACCAATACAATTATGATAACATAAAAGAATGAAAATTGGTCGGACTCTAGAAAGGGCAAAAGAGCAAAGAAACCAATTCTCAATTGACAACACTTGGGCTAGGGTGCCCCATAAGCAAACAACACACTAATTAATCAGATGAGCTGCTCGAGCTGCCAATTTTTTAGTTCATTGCAAGTACGACGTGCAACAACCCGCCCATGGTGCAAGTCCCAACAATCATGCAGAAAGCCAACAGTCATCCAAGCATACCCTCAAAGAGTAAGTGGGCAGGTTCCCATGTACCAGGCAACAATGGGGCAACAAGCTTATACATAGCAAGAGACTAATGGCCCAACAGAGCCTACAGACAACACGACCACCACAAAGGCACCAATGTCTCAATAGCAAAGCAAGTAGGTTACAGTCGAGTCAATGAAACTTACGTGGACCGAGTGGGGGGTCAGCATCAACTCATCCATGCCTCGAAGCCTTAGGTGTGCCGCCAACCCTCTGTCACTGTGCAACCCTGGGTATCGTTCTCCTTGGCGGCACTTTCAACGAAGCCTCTCCCTGCCAACCTTGCCCTGATCCCCCTCACACAACGCAGGTCGTTCTCAACGACCAACACATGTCTCTTGCACAATAGTGCGGCAATAACTCCAGTCCCTACTCCTGAGAAAGCATCTACTATGTATGAGTCATTCGGGTCAAAAAACTTCTTGATCAGCCACTCATACAAAGAAATGGGTTTCAGGTAGGGACACAAAATCTCGTTGTCTGCAGCAAAAGTGTACTTCCTCACCACCGCATTGTGACTCCAGCAGGTCATACTAGTGTCAGAGTCGCTGAATTGAAGCTGAATAGGCTACCTACAACCACTCTCACTATGAAAACCAAGAACAAAATGCTGCCAGCAGTTAGTGAGCTTGAGACCTGCAGAAGTAGAAACGGTGGGAGCCACCCAAATGCCCACCTTCACCCCACAATTGCAATCGTTTAAAAATGCAGATTTCATGTCAGTGAGCATGTCAGTGAGCATGTCAGACGCATTGATCAGAATCCCACAATGATCCAATATGATGCACATGTGATCTTCTTGAAGCTCGCAATGCTGCCCTCTATCTGAGGCTTATTGAACAGCTCCCCATCATCCACAAAACCCTTTGCCTTGTAGCCGCACGAGAAGTCCATAATGCACAAGGTGAAGGGGAGTCTGTCCTGCACTTTCTCTGGTAGCTGAAGAATGTCACAGTGCGCCACCTTCACGGTTCCCTTGTAGCCCTCCCCCTCAAAAGCAGTTCAGTTTGTAAGGAGGCCCTCATGCTCTTGTGTTGCTGTTGTTTGCTCCTCTTGCTGTGAAAGGCGCATTTTGTCCCTGTAGTTTAGGGTCTTGGCAATGTACAATTGCATAGCAATAGGAGTCTCCTCGACATTTCTCCCATAGCCTCTTGCGTATGCACAAGGAACTCCTCCTTCGTAGCCTCCCAATTGTCTGCCCCCACCCCTTCCACGAAACCAGCTGCTATCCTCTAACGAATCTGGAAAAGCGTGAACTTGTTGTTCATCTCGTTAAGCTACAGGACTCCGCTTTTAACTTCTGTGAGAACAAGGATTACCAAAGCATCATCAAACCCAGCCATCCCCTGCAGAGGCTTGTAAGGCATATCTGCAGGCTCACTCACTATCCCATTCTTCTCAGACACGTACATCAGAGGATTGAGCGCCATGAGAGAAAGACATTCCTGACAAACATCCTTCTTATTCCTTTTCCCTGGCCTCCCACCTTTTTTCCCTTTCCTCGTCTCGCTGCCAGATGCACCCGACTCTGCAACCTCAAGAGACTTGGCCTGCTTGCCACCCACGCCCTTCTTCATCTTGATGTTTTTTATCTTGGCCTGCTCCC